AGTAGATTAAAACAAATGCTTATTTCTCCCTCATGCTACATGTCCAAGTGAATAAACAGGGAGGCTATGATCATATTCCTTCAGGAACCCAGCCTGATGGATCAATCACAATCTCAAATGTAAGGAGTCACCATGCCAGAGGGAAATGGGGATTCTGAAATCTCAGGTCAACAATTAAATGCTCCAAACCAGAAGTCATGTATTTGTACTCACAATTCACTGGCTGGGAACAAATCATAGGGTTTCACGCTAGAAATATTTGGTGAATAGCAGAAGTAAAAATCACATTCAGTTAAAAAAAGTTGTTTATAAAAAGAAAAAATCTAGAGAAATAAACACAACTCTTAAAAGTTTATATTGGGACAAGAAGCTTTCCATAAGTATTATGGGTAAGAGAATTAAAATAAGTATAGGTATTTATTTTTCAACTTAAAAACTGAATACTCTTCAATCTAATCAATCGTACACTTAGAATTCTAGTACAGGTAATAAAAAATGTGGACCAAAATTTATGCACTAAGAGTTTCACACTGCAGTGTTTATAATACTGAAAATAAAAGAACAGTTATAAAATTATGATACACTCATATAAAAATAAAGGGCAGGGGTTTGCAAACTTTTTCTTTAGACTTATGGGCTACACATTCTCTGTTGTGCACAACTGTGCTGTTGTAGTGCTAGAACAGACAATATATAAACAAATAACATGGCTCTTTTCTAATAAAATTTTGTTTAGAAAAAGGTGGCCAACTGTGGGTCACAGTTTGTTATCCTCTGATATAGAGCAATTAATATCATATTTTTAAGACAGTGGGTAAAATAAAATATTTTGAAAGTTTAAAACTATAGTTTATAGTTCCAAAATCCTCCACAAATGGCATGTTTTACTTTAATATTTACGAGGGGAGCCATTTTTTAAAAAAAGGCTGATGAACCTGAACAGACCAAAAGAAAAAAGAAAAAAAGACCTCGAGTAGCCAAAGGAATCTTGAGAAAGACCAAAGCTGGAAGCATCATGCTCCCTGATTTCAAATTCTATTACAAAGCTATAGCTATCAAAACAGTATGGTATTAACATAAAAACAGATGCCTAGATCAATAGAACAGAGGCCAAAAATAAACCCATGCATATATGGTCAATTAATTTACAACGAAAGAGCCAAGAATATACAACAGGGAAAGGATAGTCTCTTCGATAAATTGTGTTAGGAAAATTAAACAGCCACATGCAAAAGAATGAAACTGAACCACTATCTTACACCATATACAAAAATCATCTCAAAATAATTAAGCACTTGAATGTAAGACCTGAAACCATTAAACTAGAAGAAAACATAGGCAGTAAGTTCCTTGACATAAAAATTGGTGGTTTTTTTCTATTTGAAACCAAACAAAAGACAACAAAAACAAAAATTAACAAGTGGAACTACATTGAACTAAAGAGCTTCTGCACAGCAAAGGAAACCATTAAAAAATGAAAAGGCAACCTAATGAATGGAAGAAAATATTTGCAAGCCATATATCTGATAAGGGATTAATACCTGAAATATAAAAAGAACTCATACAACTCAATTGCAAAAGGCAAACAACCCTCCTGCCCCAAACATTCCAATTAAAACAAGGGGAGAGAATCTGAAAAGACATTTTCCAAAGAAGACATACAGATGGCTAATAGGTACATGAAAAGATGTTCAACATCACTAAGAATCGTGGAAATGCAAATCAAACTACAATATTACCTCACAATTGTTAGAATGGCTATTATCAAAAACACAAAAAATAACAGGTGTTGGCAAGGATATGAAGGGAACCCTTGTGCACCATTGGTACAGCCACTTTGGAAAATAGTATGAATGAGTAGCTAAAGAAAATGTGATATATACACATGCACAGTGGAATATTATTCATTCATTAAAAAGAGTGAAATCTTGCCATCTGCAACATGGGTAGTCCATGAGGGCATTGCGCTTAGTGAAAAATGTCAGATAGAGAAAGATAAGTACCACATGACCGCACTTTATGTGGAATCTAAAAAAACAAATTCCTGAGCTCATGGATATAGAGAACCAATTGGTGGTTGCCTGATGTGAGGGCTGTGGGTAGGTGAAAGGTGATGAGTCAAAAGATACAAATTTCCAGTTATAAAATAAATTAGTGAGAGGGATGTAATGTACAGCATGGTGACTAAAGTTGATAATACTATAGCGCATATTTGAAGGTAGTTAGAACAGTGGATCTTGAAAATTCTTGTAAGAAAAAAACTGTAACTATGTATAACGTTGGAATGGTGTTGGATTCTAATTAGATCTAATTGTGGTGATCATTTTGCAAACATATACAAATATCAAATCATTACACTGTATACCTGAAACTAATATGTTAACTATACCTCAATTAAAAAAAAAAAAAAAGGTTGAATTCGTGAGTAACACAGTCAGTTATTCTGTTATATGGAAAAGTCAAATGACCCCAGATGTACCTGGGGCATTTTCTGGAAACCAAAATCCAAGGTAACTTCTGTGATCAGCAGTTATTCAGGCTATTAACATCTGCAGCTACAGCTTCATTTATAGCTTGATCCAATAATCTTCATAATGATGACACCCTATGTAATCAAAGAAGACTAAATTATGCTTAGTATCTTCTTTTAAATAATGAAGGTGATTTTATAATACTTTTAACAAGCAATTAAAAGTTATCTTTAGTTAACTATAAAAGTAATTTCACCCAGGATACCTCAGCCCCTGATGTTATAGTTTTTGCTACAGATGTTTCATTTCCTTACAAGATGATCTAAATGAAGCATCTTTGAATTTATAGCTAAGTTGAAAATTAAACATTGATATAAGTTTTAGAAATCTATCTGATTATTCATTTTGTCTACATGGATCTGCATATGTGCCTCATTTAAAACACAAAATAATTGTTTTCTCTGTTAAATCTTAGAAATAGGTAAATCGTTTCAGCAATTCCTTTGCTGAAAAAACAAGTCAGTGTTATAGTAATCTAGTAAAAATGAAATACAATCCTTTTTACATACATACAAAAGTCCTATTTCACTGAAGACAGGAGTGATTGGTCTTGGAGTAACAATTTTGATGAAACAAAAATGATTGTGTCAACCATGAAGTAAAAAAATGACATTATGAAAACCTACAAAAATGTAATGATGTTAAAACTTCTATACTTATTATGTAAAGTGTATCTTTAAATTACATGCTATCTTTCCTACTAATAAAATGATTAGCTAATCCCTCTTCGTGAGGTAAAATTCCTCAATTCCTGTTTACAAAAAGATTAGGTCCTTTTCTTTAGGTTAAGAAATCCTCCATTCCACATATATATAGTCACTGTAGGAATAATAAAACAAACTATAACTTTACTATCAATGGGAAGGTTAATTGCAAAAAATATTTGCTTTAAAAAGCAACAGTCAATATAAATGCTGAGAACTACAGGTATGGCAGAAAACAATAACTTTAGAAACAGATCAAATTGAATTAAAATCTTGGCTTTGTAACCTTAGGCAAATAATTGTCCAGGTATTTGATTTCCTTATCTTTTACTTACAGCCAAAACAAGGTAACTCATATCTTGTCAGTTCCTTTAAAAAAAATGTTTAGAATAGCTCTTGAAAACGTTATAACGTGAAACAATTCCAATTTCCTCCTAAAACATTGGAGAGATGCAAAGGGAAAGAAACACAAATAAATATGGCATTTAGATTGTCAATGTAAATTAGAAGTGCATCCCACCAAATCAATATGCTTCTTAATGTCAATGAATTGTACTTTTAATCCATAATTCTATTGCTAGGTAACAGGGAACTCTAATATAGTAAGGCACCTTAGTAGTTGTTAGGCAAAACAGTCACTAAAGTGATTCTGGCTTTCATAGTCATATCCAGGGAGTCTAAACATTCGAAAGCAGGAGTAGGCAAACTACAGTATCCATGGGCCAAATCCAGCCAACATTGTTTTTGTAAATAAAGTTTTACCAAAACACAAACAGGCTATTATTTACATATCACCTATAGCTGCTTTCATGCTAAATGGAAGACTTGAGTAATTGTGACCACATGGCCCACAATTAGTATCTGGCCCCAAACAGAAATTTCTAAGCTTGCAGACCACTGTTCGAAAGCACTGCTAATGCAAAGGTTTGGTTTGCATCCTGAATTGTTTGTGCCTGATCAGATATAAGGATATCATGTGAGAACATAAACCAATTATGTTACCAAGTACAATGTTTATTTCAACTACTTTTTTGTTTTCACTGCCAGACTTTCTAAATGAACAACTTATAGTCTGGTGGAGCTTCCTCTTCTCATAGTGAAAAGGTATAAACAGTTCATTGATTAGCTACTTTGAATGACAGTACTCTAAAGGTATATAGGGACAAGAGAAAGGACAACCCAAAGCTCAAAAGGGATTAATTAGTATCACTCAGAGACTTATTCTGGAACAGTGCTCTAGGGTTTTGTAGCATAGGCTTGGCGATTAATTGAATGAGATTCAGAAAGTGGTCCTTACACAGATTTTTTTCCTACTCCCTGCTCTTCTAAGATTTAAATTACTCCTGAAATTTTCTCTGCTATTGATTTATGTTTCAACAAGGCAAAGGGTGACAGCTAATATGTCCTTCTCTCCCTATTTTTTCTTGGGAGCAGGAAAGACAAAAATATTTGCACCCTCACCCCCAAATATTCAAGAAAATAAGTCAATAATATATTTTGCCCATTTAGCCTCTTTAATTTACCAAACAGATAAAAAACTATAATATTTCTCTTGAAATGAAAGAATTTATAAAGCAAATCTATTCTCTGTAAATATTAGCAGTATTTTCCCTGTACTTTTACTAATTTAAAATAAATCATGCATCAATTAAAGAATACAGAATGAAATCCTACCACTAACTTTAAAATGAAATTTCCTTGAACAAGAATAGTTTCTAAAGGCGCCAAAGGTAATCCGACTCAAGCAGTTTTCTGAAAAATAAAATTATTCAAGGACAGATTTTTATTGCAAATATTTACTCAAAAACTACTATATACAGCAGAATTTTAATAGCCATTTAAAACACTTAACATTCAGTGAAATAAAATTTAAGAATTCAAAGCACATGTTAAGAAGTAAAAATGTAGCGATTTAAATAAAAGTTTATTAGTACTTCAAAGCAAACTACCGTTATTCATATTATTCACTTCTAGATCTATTATTTTCTAGATGATAAAAAAACAACTGAAAAATCAATTTAGCAGCCATCTTATGGATAAATTAGACTAAATATCCCAAACCAATTTTTTACATCACTGCTTTAGGTCCCATTTGAAGTTTCTATTTTACAATTAAAGAAAAAGTCACTTAAACATCGCTGAATTCATGCCAGGACATGTTTTCAGTTTACTGCTTTACAGTATCTACATTATGCCATACTTTGGTTTGGTTTCCAGACCATTTTTATGGGTCTATTTCTAAAGATCATTAAAACAGTATTAAAAGCGTAATAGCTACAGGAGTTTCAACAATGGGTTTCTACTTTATACAACTAATACATCAAGGGATTTCTGCACAGCTTACACACTGACAAATAGCACAAATATAAATTTATATTTTAATAATTTCACTTTCACTGAAAGTTTAATTAAGGTAAGCTTACAGCCTGGCAGGCTAACACTTGTATGGAGGTACATAGATTCAAATATTCTGTTTACATGCTTCTGACAGTCTGGAATGTTATATTAAATCCAAAGTTAAGTTTATGTTCATCCAAATTCTCGTTAATTATTTAACACTCTAAGCATGCTCCATTTACCAATATCATACTTAAAATAAAGCCTTTATTAACAATGCCAATTAGACATTATTTTAAGTCAATTATTCCCAAAAGTGATGTGGTTTCCAAATCTCTTTTAAGTTAATTGAGAAGGCTATATAGGTAATATGGATTTTTAGCTTAGGATTGATGGAATTTTCAATGCTTTGTAAATATAAGTAATATTCTAATAATCAATTCATATTGGAAACCAAGTTCCATTTCTTTAAGGACTGTTAAAAGAAGCCTTTTCCATTGTGAACTTAACTTTCATTAAAATCCTACTCATGTTTTAAAACCTCCTGGAAATCCATTCTAATCATGCTATTATTGGTGAATTGATTTCTTTAATAACTTAGGTTGAACATACAGGTAAAGTGTATGAATGGCCTCCCTCACATTTTTCTATTTCTGAACTCTATCTACAACAGCACCACTGAGCTCACCTGATAGCACTGTTCCAAATGCTCTTATCGCTGGTACACTAAAACTTAGAATGACTTAACTAATTTCAACTTCTTTCTTTTTCATCTGCCAGGTCTACTGTTGTCTCTGTTGTGCTAGGGCTATTTCCTCCAGAAACATCATCTGTTTGATCAGACACTACTTCATCAGTCTTGCCTGAAGAATCACCACTGCCTTTCTGAAGAATCTCTGTGGCTTCATACTCAAGTACCTCTGATGGAGTTAAAGGTTCCAGATGAATACTGCCTTGCTCACTAACATCAGAACTAACAGATTCAGGTTCATCTCTTTTTCTCAAAAACTGATCAATTCTAACATCACCAGATGTTAACCGTAAATCCTTAATATTCTTTGAAGAAAACCTAGCTTTACTGGACTTGCGATCTTTAATCTCATCACATGAAATTATGTTTTCTGAACTCTGGCACATCTTCAATTCTGTTTCCTGACAAATGTGTTCTACTTGTTTTTCCTTTTCCACTTTATCTTCACCAATATTTGAATCATAACTGAAGATATTCTTTGAGCCAGTTTCCTTGTCTTCAAGACAGGTATCATTTTCCTTATGCGAAACTATTATACTTTCTTCACTTTTTGTTGCTGATGAGACTTCGAATGAATTTGCATCACATCCAATTTTCTCTTCCTCTGAAGCTTTATCTTGTTTACTGAAAAAAAAAATAAACCCATTTATTATCAATTCCTTCATAATACAATGTTTTTGAACATTATCAAAATATATACTCTAAAAAATTTTTTAAAGCTCAAGGCAATAAAAAATTTTTTAAAGACCAAGGCAAAAAAAAAAAAAAAAAAAAAGTCAAGGCAGACTTGCCCACCAAAAAAGAAAAATAAATCCAAAAATCCAGGTCCATATTATGATTTAGGAAGCAGCCATTTTCCTAGGCAAGAGAGTGAAAAACTATAGAATCACATATTTAAAAGTAGACCTGGGGAGTCTATCAACTGGTTTTAGTCCTAGTTATCATTTTCACTTGTTTACAGCCTTGCCTGTTTTTAGTTAAAATTTAAGCATTCTTATTAATTTCTGAGAGTGTTTTAAATAAGGAATGAATATATATGGAAAAAAACCTATTTTACCTTTATAATTTATATATCCTCTTATGGTTAGTGTGTCTTTCCTTATGCAAAATAAGGTATTTACAAACATTTCTCTAATTTTTGATAGCCTAATTTAAAAAAAAGCAAAATACATGTAAATATACAACATGCACACATACATAGGTGTGTATGTTTGTATATGAGTGTGTATGTGTGTTTACTCTTACCTCAGTGTATTATCAGAAACTATTTTGTGAATAATAAAACATTAGAACAGAAGATTTTTAAGGTGATCTTTGGCCCCCTACCTAGATGCTTATTTTACCAAAAGTAAATTTAATAATTACATATATCTTATTTCTTACATTAATCCACCTGGAATTTAGACTTTTTCCTAATGAACTACCCAAATATTAAAGCAACATTATCAAATAGTTGTAATTTACTAAATTATATTCACATATTTATACTGTTTCTCGACTACGTATTTTGTTTTGATTTGTCTTCAGACGATTCTTGGGCCAGTACCACACAGCTTTAACGATTACAGATTAACAACGTACTTTATTATCTAATAGAGCAAACTGCCTGGACTACTTACTCCCTAAATTTAATCCTTTAAAATGTAAAAGATATTTGTACAAGGATGCTCATTAAGTTAATGTTTAAATAGTGCATGCAGAAACAACCTATTATCTAACAACAGAACAATAATTAAATTATGGTATTAAGAGAAAAATATGAATCTTGAACTTTGTCAGTTTCCAAACCAAATCCCATTGGAATTTTCAACTAAGTGTTCATTAAACCCATAAATTAATTTGGAAAATAGCCTATCATGCAAGTTATTAATATATTTTCTATCTCAGTAAAATCTTTTCATTTAGATGTTATACATTTCTAATTTTTTTATTATTATGAAATAACTCTTTTGTCCATAATATTTTATAATCAATCACATATTACTGGTATAAAGTCTTAGCTCATTTTCTTGGATCTTATAGGTCAATTACATCATCTACAAAAAATAACATTTTCCTCATTTAAATTTGTATAATTATTAATTTTGTTTCGCTCTTCTTAGACTAACTACAATTTACAGAAAATGTTAAATAATACAAAAATGACAAGTCTGTTTTTTCTAAATTTTTAAATTTTAGTTAACGTTCCCTTCAGTGTTCTAGGAAAAATGCTAAGTGAAGAAAATGCTAGATAATTTCCAGTGAAGTCTAAGGAACACTTTCATAAGGCCTTATTCCATAATTTGCTTTTTAGGGGCAATAGATTAATTAATTTCATCAGATTAACAAGCAACCTACTGTAAAACAGACAGCATCAAGATAGAAATGGGGAAATTATTTAATTTAAAAGAAAAATAAAATTTATCTGGAAAAAAGTTCTAATTAGAATGTTGAAGTCTCTTTTATCAAGAAAGATTGTAAAATGTCTTATGTTCTTTAGTGCTCTGCTTAAGAATTAAATTTTTAAAAACCAATCCTTAAATTCTGAAACTTTTAGGTTGAAATGCCACCACAGAAGTAGCTTTAAAGCTTTTTGAAAATACTTAAAAAATATATTTTAAAATTACCTATTTGCAATAATTGTCCCCATGTTTTAACTTGTGGCATCTTGAAATTGTTCTCATTTAATAGGGGCAGTTAAAATATGTTAACATTTTACTTACTAGTAAGTACTTTAAAAAATTCTATATGTATAAAAGTATTTCAAAACTAAGAATCTGTAGTATATTCTTGTTGAAATAAAATTTCAAAATTTTATTTTAATTAAAAGCCATTACTAAAAGCAACACTATATACGTAAGTTTAAATAGTCCTTTACTAATTAATTGAAATAACACAACTCAAGTGTCATTCAACTTGGATTTCAAGAGATTCAGTTTTTCCTCATATTTACCTTTCAGAATTTGATGTTTCTGTTTCTTCAGCCATATTAGGTCTTGCAATTTCCTGAAATGATTAATAATATTCTTCTTTTATATCCATGGATAAGATTAAAGCCAACTATTTTTTATTATACTAAACTTTCTGGATAAAAGGAATTTAAGTGTGCAATCTTATAAAGCAAAAGAACTAGAAAAACAATTTCTTAAAGTATATACTAGAATAATTCTCATAATCAAAAGTATGATTTAAAAAATTCTTTTTAAAGAAACTTACAAGAAGTTCTTCATACCAAAAGTTTCTGAATCAAGGTCACAAAAACAGTTATCCAGTTATAACATACCTGCTTTCTTTAAACTCAGTTTCAAATATGGGCCTTAAATACAATCACAGCTGACCCTTGAACGACATGGGTTGAACTGTGCAGGTCTACCTATACACAGATTTTTGTCAATAAATATACAGTTGGCCCTCTGTGTCCCTGGATTTTGCATCCAAGGATTCAACTGACCTTGGACTGAAAACAATATTTTCAACCTGCAGTTGGGAAGCTATCGATGCTGAGGGCCAACTGTATGCATTATTCTATGCCATTTTATATAAGAAACTTGAGTATCCATGAAGTCTAGTATCCATGTGGGTAGGGTCCTAGAACCAATCCCCTGCAAATACCTAGAGGCAACTGTGCTGCAGTTAGGTTTTTGGGAAGTCAAAAGTTACACGTGAATTTTCAACTGTGTGGAGTTCAATGCCCCATGTTGTTCAAGGGTCAATTGTACTTGAATTGAAAACCAGTAAAATACAACTTAAATCTGAACAAGTTGTATTCACAGTATTTTATAGAAACATATTAAGTACAGACACTTAAAAACATTTCTGAAATGAACACTTCATATATGGAGTCATGGTAACCCTTCTGCTGTCAAACTAAATAATACTGAATGACAGACAAATATTTCACTTATTTCAAATCATTTATGCATAGAAAATACAGTAAAACCTCAGTAAGCCAAAGACCAGTTTATTACAACTGCAATTATTAGAATTGCCAACTATTGAGTACATATGATGCATGTAGTATGTTAAGAACTTTACATTCACTATCTCACTTAACTCTTATATTAGATATCATAAACACCATTTTTTTTTAAGTGAGAAATAAGACTGCATGGGTTAAGTAGAGAACCCAAAGCAATACAATGATAAGTGGTGAAGATTCAAATCTAAGTCTAGCTCTTAACCATTATAGTGATTGACTCAAGTCTGTGAAATTGATAATGGTATTAATCACACACATTTATTTTCTCACTTTCCCAAAATGCTGCTAAAATGAAGGCAAAGAAATAAAACATTTTCACTCATAAAGACCAAGAAAACACCACAGCAGACTGTCAGATTTCAACAAATTTTTAGAAAGAAAGTGGCTAGAGGAGTGAAAATTGACTTCACAATGTGGAGGAAGGTACAATGAAATGTCTGAGTGGGGAGTGCAAGAAGAGAATCAATTTGCTCAAGGAACTTAAGATATCTGGTATTTGGCAGAATTCAGTACAACATATAGTACATAAAAGGTAAAAATGAAGCACAAGCACTGCTAGGAAATCTAAATGTTCTTTCTACAACTCACACAACAGGTACCTATCCTTTACTCTACCACAGAGGCTAAAGGTTTAACTCTGAACTGGAGACAATCTAAACTTGTGAACACCAGGAACAACGAAGGGAAGACATGAGGTACTGAGAGAAAACAAAATATTTCAGTAAAAGTCCAAAACTGAGTAAAGGGATCCACAGTCCCTCTTCCTGTCTGGATCCCAGAATGCCAGCAACCAGAGGAATCAGTTTTCATCCCAACACCCCCAACTGGAATCTAGAAGAGTTCCTCTTTAGAGAAAATTACCAGCCCCAAAGAAAAGATTTCCCATATTGACTTTGAGAGCATCCTCCCTACCAAAGAATCAGTCAGCTGAGCACCTGATTTTCCTAAGTTGAAGTTTAAGCAACTCTCATGTAGTCTGTGTAGGTTGTAGAGTGCACTAATTCAGGAGGCAACCTTCACATAATAATTCATGCCAGCAGTTCTCCAGGTGTGGTTCACAGACACCTGGGAGCTCCAAGACACTTTCAGGAGGCACATGAGTTTAAAACAAAAGCGGTGGTGGATAAAAACCCTGCATCTTAAATCAAGGGAGTGGCACCAAACCAAAATAGTACTATAATCATTATATTCTTCATCAGCATACACCAACAGTAAAATTTATTTTATTATATATCAATCCTTGAGTTTATGTTCTTTTAACATTCTATGTGATGAAATATGATGGATACCTAGAGCACTATATTTGCATATTGAAAACACTGGGGTTGCTGATTGAGTTGTGAGCTGAACTTAGCCACACTTTTTTTTCATTTAACATCACTTTTATTTTAAAGAATGACTGTAAAACTATGGGCATTTAGACTTGGTTATTTAGTAGATGTTTTTGTGAAAATTGACAAAGTGAGCCTATCACATCAAACAACTGACAGTACTTGCTGCCCATAGTAAAATTCAAGCAAAAGTTAAATTTTAGGAAAACTTGTATTTACCATCAATGAAATTAATAATCTTAATATTATGTAATGAAACATGTCAACAGTTGGAAGATTTAAGTAACTCGGTGATCCAATATTTTAAAAGTAATCAAGGCCTGACATAAAATCATCCATGGATAAAAGGTCCAATCAAAGCGTAAAAGAGAATAATGGATTTTAATGTACGAAGTACAAAAAGTTCAGTGATTCCACACTGCAACAAAACTTTCACTTGTCTACTTTTGATGTAATACCAAAGGAGAATAATCAGAATTATCTGAAAATATTATTAAAAGACTGTATGAGGCTTCACATTCTTCATATATTTCAACCAAAATAGTGTATCACAAATGACTGAATGTAGAAACAAAAGAATCCAGTTTTCTTCTATTTAACTAGACATTTAAAGTGATATGAAAAAGTGGAAAATAATGCCATTCTTCTAAGTTTGGTAAATAATTATTTCTCAGCAAAAAAAATGTTCTTTATGTTAACATATGGGGGCTGTTATTGTTTTTAAGTAACTATTTAAAAAATTTCACAATTTTAATTTCTAATATGGTAAATATCGATAATTTTTTAGAGTACTAAGGGGTATGTGTAAATAGTGCCCTCTGGAGTTCTGCAGTGCACAACCTGTATGGCTATGTAAAACAGCCTTATCTTCATCCAAAACCATATGGTTTTCAGTGAACCTATTAGTGCTTCATTCTTTACTGTTTATGAATAGCCAAAGATCACCAACCACACAACTGAAGACACCTTTTAACATCAGAAAGATCAAAAGCAACAAAAAGAAATAAAACAAGGAGCTTGGGGACATCGGAGACATTTCTAGAAACAAAAGGAAAAAATACATAATTAATACAAATTTAATGTCCCCAGAGAGGTATGAGATGTTATTACATCCATTAAACAAGAATGAAAACTGTGAACACAGAACAAGTGAAGAACAAATAAAAAAAATTAAAGAACTCTTCAAAATTAAATATATGGCAACTAAAATAATTTTTAGAAAATATTTTTTAAAAGATTAAACTAAAAAGACAAAAAATGAAAGAAAAAAAGAAAATATCATACAATCAGAGGAGCTGATGTAGGAAGTACAATGTCAGATCAGCTGGAGTTTCCAAAAAGAGAACAGAGAAAATGACATTGACAGTTTACCAAAGAATACAAAAAAAACTTCTCCCAAACAGAAATATCCCAATTACAAAGGTTTGTCTAATGCCTACCATAATGAATGAAAAAAGGACAACAGGTGAACATATCACTGTGAATATTTCAAAACAGAAGAGATAATCATTAAATTGCCAGAAAGAACAAAATAACCTAAACACAAAGAAACTGGAGCAAGAATGGCATCAGTTACCAAAAACAATACTTTCAAAACTGCATTGTATATTGTTTTCAATACATTTCAGCTGCACTATCATTCAAGTAAACATAGCTTTAGATATACAAGGAGTGAAAAAAGATGTACCCCTTTGGAAATACACGTTTCATCAAAATAAGGAGTAAATCAAGGAAAGAGAACTCATGGTTCAGAGATCAGGACATCCAACAAGAAAGTGACAAAGGAAAATCCTGATACAACAAAAAGGCTTTGTTAGTGACTAGTTTAAACTGAAGCACGTATCTACTTCCCATATTTGAAAACCATTATCCATAAAGATATATGCGTCCCACTGTTCACTGTAGCATGATTCACGGTGGCCAAGACATGAAATGACTGAAGTGTCCTTTGATAGAAGATTGGATAAAAAAGATATGGTACATATATATATGATGGAATATTACTCAGCCATAAGATGAAATAACTGCTGTTTGTGACAACATGGATGGATAATAATATTATCATGCTAAGCGAAATAAATCACAGAAAATTTTGAGAATCATAATATTTCACTAATACGTGATACATAAAACTGAAAGCAACAAACAAGACAAACAAATGAACAAAAACTCATAGAGACAACAGTTTAGTGGTTACCAGAGAGAAAGAAAGGAAGGTAGATAAGGGTAAAAGGGGTCTCAGGAGATTTGACTCTGGGTGGTGAACACACATGCAATATACAGATGATATATTATGGAAGTGTACAGTTGAAATCTATATAATTTAACTAATATTATCCCAATAAATTTAATAACAAACAAATAAATTGAAGCAGGTCTGAGAAGAGCTCTCCAGACGCTCCAACAATTTTTTTGAGCGTGTGAACATTTGGAAAGAATACTTCTAAAACAGACAAAGCCCAACATTAAAAAATAAAAGCATAAGGTGCACATAAAACTAAACAAATGAATAAAAAAGATTTGTAACTCCAGAAATATAAAATGAGATAAAGAAAATCATAATACACTTCCTGGCTCAGAATAGTCTCAAAACCTGTGATGTAACTATACTGAAATTAGTGCTATGTCAAGCCATATTGGACCCTGAAGTAAAGGAAAATTGTACACCCTTATATACGTTTTTGAATATTTTTTGT